ACATGGTTAGTCCCATCTAACTACTCCGGTCCGGCAGTGTATGATCATCGATCACATGTTTTATCAAGTTATAACTTTATTGATTGGTTATTCAATTTTACAACTATCTCTATCTATATTAGAGTTTACCACATCACCACTCATAAGAACATAGGCCTGAGGTACCGTGTATACTATCACATTTTTTACAACGTTCTCTATTGAGATCGATTATTAGAGGCCGTGTTATTATCGCATTACTCTTTCTTGGGTGTACCTCGACCTTTAAGAATATGATTCTGAGTTCTTCTGTGATCACGCCCTGGCAACTTGTCAAGTGCTCGTTAAATGTTTCTTCGTTGTACTCGGTACAATAAAATGGACACTTTGCCCATGTTGCAACACTTCCATCCGGTGAGAAGGTAGATGGATATGCTAACGCACATCAATAAATACATTTACATTACTCTATGTTCTGTTTACACGAAACACAGCATTCATGTAAAGCTTCCTGGCCGCAGATAGGGCAAGTTCCATGTTGACATTTGAATGTGGTGAACCCTTCATTGAAGTTGAAATCGTTACATTTCTCATAGAAATACCAAGGCTCGATTGTATTACTGCTTTTAATATATTCTTTTATTGGGATGAAGTTCGATCCTATTTTAAGTCGATTGGTTAAAGTAGTCTTAATATCATCTCGTTCGTAGACAATTTTGAGTATCTCTACAGCATCTTTTAATGTTAACAAATCAGCAATTTTTTGAAGATTCATTTTTTTATATGTGATCGGGTTTACTTTTTTTACCAATGAGTTAACGTTTATTTATTTATAAAAATAATATAATTGTACAAAGACAGAGATGGGAAGATCTACCGATGCATTTTAGAATGTGAATTCTATACCTATTCTTTTTAATCTTGCTCTTACAATTTGTGAATTATTTACAGTAACACTAATGAATTTGTCTTTGTAAATAATCTTTAAACAGAATATGTGTTTTCTTTTAACAAGAAATCTATCAAATTGCTGTACCGTGGTTTTAAAATAAATATAATTTTTAATAAAGGAAGATTGTTCGATAACAAAACTTGTAACATGTGGATTTTCCTTTATTGTAAAATAAAATTCTAAAAAATTGCCTCAGGTGTAAATCATAACTCGTGGGATCCGTAATTCCAAAATAAAGTTTCTATCAAATAAAATATTATGAAGTGTGAGTTCACGCAGATTACTGAATCCACTGATAACCCCCTTACTTCGATTATTGACTCCTAGTTTC